ATATATACATATTTGGTATCGGGTACGAGTACCCATATTTATCTTTCGGTACTCACTGACACCGAGTACCGATACCGGTACTTACACTAGCATGGAGTTGGCTTCCCGGGCAATCAGGAAGCCGGGCAGCGTGTCATTACCCACCACCCGGCTTATTGATTGCCTGGAAAGCCAACTCCATGCTGTTTGGCCGGCTTGATGCTGATTGGTCGGGAAGCCGGCTTCCAAGCCAGTCAGCATGGAGCCAGCTTCCCGGCCAATCAGAAAGCCGGGAGGTGGGTCATTACCCGCCGCCTGGCCTTCTAATTGGCCAGGAAGACGACTCCATGCTGCTTGGCCAGCTTAATGCTGATTGGCTGGGAAGCAGGCTTCCCAGCCAATCAGCATTAAGCCAGCTTTCCAGCCTATCAGGAAGCTGAGAGGTGGGTCATTACCCGCCGCCTGGCCTTCTAATTGGCCAGGAAGACGACTCCATGCTGCTTGGCCAGCTTAATGCTGATTGGCTGGGAAGTATAAAGCTTCCCAGCCAATAAGCATCGAGCCGGCCAAACAGCATGGAGCCAGCTTCCAGGCCTATCAGGAAGCTGGGCAGCGAGTCATTACCTGGGCGGCGAGTGATTAGCCGGGAAGCCGGCTCCATGTTCCCTTGCGGTACTGCCGTTTAGAGGAAATATCCCTCTGACCGGAAGTTCCAGTATTGGGGAAGGTATCGGAGCAATTGGCCGAGTACGGGTACTCACCCAAATACTTGGTATCGGCACCGATAGCGCTACTAGTATCAGTGCATCCTTATGTAGACTAAATAAATAAAAATGCACATATTCATAAAATAAAAAAATGTGGATTTATTATTTTTTTGCATTGGAGTCAGTAAAGCATTGCAACCATAATCAGTGGATCATAGCTGGAATGCTCTGGCTCATGCAGATTCTCTCTCCAACCTCTGTCTGTACCAAGCTATGAACATTCAATAACAGGAACGGGAGAAAGAATGGATGAACTACAAGTGTACTGATGTCATGTTATTGAAAACTACAAGTCTTTCAAGTCAAAGGATCTGTAAATGGATGACGCTGCTGTGTGGGTGGAGCCACGCAGAGCCACACCATTTTAAAAAATCAACACGAGTCTGCAAGGAGAAGAACCCTGCGATTCAGGCACGTGGGGAGGTATCAATGCCACCATGTTTCATGTTGCAGCCTAAATATGGGTGTAACATGAAACATGGTTTTAAAGGTAAACTTACCTTTTAACCTATTGTGGAGTTCTCCCTTCAATTATAAAGGGACCTGCATTCAAAGTTCTTTCAGAAGAGAATATGATAATATGTTCTTGTTTCTTTTTAGTGTTTCTCACCAAGCAGTGTTTTCAGATTTTCTGCTTCCATGAAGATGTCATTGTCAGTATTGACAGCAATTAGCGGCTAATAATTAAAAAGAGTGCACATCTCGTCAGTTGTTACCAGTGTGGAGCCATTAACCTGTAAATGAACCCAAAGCAGGATGTTACATTGCTTTTTTAATTATCAGTAATTCCTCTCCAGAGAGGCATGGGGGAGAGACTGAGCTGAACAACCATGAAACAAATATGACAACAAACAAATTACATTCTCCCATTCCTTTGATTGACTTACTTGGCTGCGGTGTGCAGAGAAAGGAAAAAAGGAACAATTTGACTTCTGATAACTGGATACAATGTGAAGATGTTCTTTTTCAGCCAAGCATGGCTTATTTTGCATATGTCTAATAACTAGATGTCCTTGTCAGCAGTTTAACATTTTTTTTTAATTTTTTTTTAACCTAGGACAAATATACGTTTGTCCTGGGTTATAGAATCCGATGAGCCGCTAGCCGCGCAGTGGCATTAGTTAGACAGTTCAACAAGGATTTTCTGCACATGCGCACTAGCTCCATCTGCTGTACATCTCTTACTGGCAGTCACCGGAGGTGACGTGCCCAGTCGGAGAGCTCGACAAGTCGGAGCTTTCGCTAGAACACGGGCAGTCCAATGAGATCGGTCCTGTTCCGCATCTAATCAGAAACCCAATGTCAATCTATGGATAAATAGTTGTGTGTCCATTTACATTCAATTGCCTCCAAGTCCATGTAGTTCTGGAATTACATATTTCTCTACTTTTCTGGAGCTAAACGTGATGGATCAGAGGTAATTGTATGTAAACACATCTGCTTACATCTGGCTTCCTGTAGACCTAACATGGGTCCATACAGCTTAGGAAAGAATTGCGGATTGATACCCTGCTGATTGTAGTGGATGGGTGTCCATGTAAAAGGGGCATAGGGTGAAAAACGTTTAGCACAAAGTATGTAGGCAAAGGATACACCCAGGACATGCCCAGTTAGATGGACCATAAAAGATTAATGTACAAAAGATGATTGGATAAATCCACAGGTCTTTTTTTCTATCACTGATTTTTTTTTTTTTCTATTTTAGAACAAAAGCAATAATTTAGAGGTTGGATGAAAAGTTTAGTGAAGTATAATATTTTTGGTAGGTAATAGTGCTTTTTCTATAGCGATCTATACATCAGACCAACAAGAAGGCCAATTAAGGAGGAAAAAATGCATGAGGCTATAAGGGATGAGCATAGTTTTTTGGGGAAAACTAATTTTGCCATCATTCTCTGTTTTGCTCTTATAGCAGTTAAGGAAAAAATTGTTTAAACATAAATAACAATCTGCCTTTTTCCTTTACTTACAGGGTGTGGTTTTTCTGGGGGGGGGGGTTTAGTTTAATACACCTATTTTCAACCTATTTTCAGTCACAGCACCCTTTAGAAGTATACAAAATCTCTAGGCATCCCAGTGAAAAATGTAATATCTTTTAAGGGGAATCCAGTGCAAAAACACACTAAAAAGTGGGTTTCCCCCTTCTCTTCAAATTCACAACAGTCACCCTTTGCATCAGTGGTCCACTTCACATCAGGAGCCCCCCTTTTACATTAAAATATTAAAAATGAAGTCCTTGGTGTTCTTTCTTTGTGTTTCTTTTTTGTATCTTTGAATAATATTTGTGCACTGACACTTAACAAGGGGCTGGGTTTTTTGGTACAAAAATCCCCAGATTTTTGCAAAAACGTTTGAGGAACTTAATACTTACTCATCTCTAGGGACCTTGTATTTAATCTCCACCAGGGCTTTATCTGCAAGGAGTTTGTACTATCTCTCCATATTTGCTTGAGTTCACTCCAGGTTCCTTGAACAATTCAAACACACATCGGGAGGTTAATCCATTTGTCCCTATATAGGCCCATTTAAGTGTTTGTAATGGAAAGTGGGATTTGAAGCCTTTCTTAAGCCAGGCCCAATGCAAGTAGTTTCATGTACACTGTAATGCACTATGTTATATTTTACAATCACATAAATAAAGGAAATATAAAGATGTGAATATGTTATATAAATTATATTTTTTTGTTCTGTTACTGCAGTAGAGATATTTTCTTCTTTAGTTCCAATAACCATCAATCAGCAACTTTCCCTATGCATATTTTATGAGGGTATAATTTGTGCTGTTTTCTCTTCCAGCAGGTATGAGCTTTGTGCATGAAGACCAGCCTGCTCAAAATACAGTCTTGCCTTTAAAGGAGATTCCCAAGGGGACAAATAGGACAATCTTGGAAGTGTGTAACAACACAAACGCTCCCCGCAGGAGTTTACTTCCAGCAAAGAAAACAACCACATCACCTGCTGGTAGGCAATTCTCTTCTAGATAACATCCCTGCAATAGTCTGCCATCTGCATTATCCCATCAGGAAGGAAACAATTTCTCATTATGTTAAATGAATGTTGTTTTCACTGTTATAATGGCAACATGAAAAGTCTAAAGCTTTTTTTAATGGAATCTAGATACACGGTCTGTAGATTTAGAAGGTCAGAAAATATCAACTTTAGATTGTGCATTGTAGCATTGTTCAATGGCAATAAGCATATGTTGAAAAAGCTTGTAATAGCAAAGCCTTTACATGGAACAGTTGTTGGATGTTAAAGTGACAAAACAGGAAGTAAGGGACTGTCCTCAAAAGGACACAGACAGCAACAAAAACCTGAGTGATGCCTTACACATTTCCTGGGTGGGTGTCAGAGTTCCAAAAAATCTCATTTTATACCGGCAGGGATGCATAAACACATGTATATTTAGGTAGAATGTTGACTGTACAGTTGGAACTCTTGCATTGCCGAGCAAGGTTCTGGGTTTGATTGCCACTGAGTATACTATGTATATACTATATATAATATACTATACTATCTGCATTAGAGTTTCTTTGTTTATGCAATGTCCAGATTTTCTACCACAATCTACAGATCTTTTGGCAGGTAATGTAGACTACCTGTACTATAATATATATAGTACTCATCAATACTATTTAAAAGTAATGTATCTAAACTCAAGAATAAATGTTTTGATATATTGCAGCATTTCAGTCCTTAGATGTGATTGCTGTATTCATATTCTCTTTTTTAGACTTTTCCCCCTTTATTTTCACCTGACAATCCTGCCAGTAACACACCTCCTATCCTAGAGTGACAGTGCTCACTCACTGTACTGTATCTGTGGGGGAACACTGTTGTCATCCTAAATTAGGTGGGTAAGGACTGCAGAATACCTCTCCCTCATCTTCTTTACAGAGGGGGTTGTAGTACTGGAAACAATGATAACTGTGAGCACAGGAAGATATCAGTTATTTTTTGGACTTGTCAAACTGATATAACAAAATGTTTTTAATGATATACTTAACAGAGCAAAAGGGAGAAAATAAGAAAAGTTTAATGTTAAGTTTACACGCACTTTAAATAAAGAAAGATTATACAAGTATGGATGTTCTGGCGACCTCTCACACTGCTTTTATCTTGAGGGGTGTGTGCAGGGAGGTAATAGGCCAGACAATGTTCTTCGGTCCAATGAAAGAGGCTCTCTAGTACAGTTGGCTAAGGGCTGTAAGAGCTCATGAACAGTAACTTTTGTTTGCATCTGAGCTGCTTTTCTTTAATATAGAGGTCAATATGAATGCAAAAGCAACTTGAAGCAGCTTGATGTAATTCCAGAGCAACTTAAAACCTTGAGGTTAATACAGTGGAGGTATGAATATTTTACCCAGTGAGCTAATATCATGTATTGTAAAGCAGTGTGGGACTTCATTCATCAAAATAAATGGAAGAATTATGTCATATAATGGTTAATCTCCCAGGCATAGCTATCATCCCCAGTTACTGTTTCCTAACACTGCATAACACTCTGTTAGATATACGCGTTCCACTATTTTGATCTTTGATTGTTACATCGGGGAGATCAAACATTATATAGTATCAGTCTTTCAGCAATTTTGTGGAACAACGGTGCATGCTGTTTTACTATCCATAACATTGGTTCTCTGGCCAGGATATACGTTCCCTTCACTCTGTCACTTTCAAGGACAGGAAAAAAATAACTGTCAGGATTAACTGTCACCTGAAGGAGTTCAGGACCTAATGCTTCATGTGAAAGGGAATTTTTTGAAATTTAGTGTGTCTGTGAAAGAGTAATGCTGTGGAAATCACAGATCTGCTTCATGAGACGGTGCTGTAATTTTAGTGTATTATACCTAAACACAAAGTCAGAGTGTAGAGGTGTCATTTTCTGTCGAAAGAATCATGTCAATAGCATCAACAATTTGGGAGGGATGTGTGACAGGGGTGCCATTCTGATCCTGTCTTCAATGTCTAATAGGGAAATGACCTGGAATAATTATGCAGGGTAGAAGTTCAGACTTCACTGAATGCATTGGTGTTCCAGCTTATTGAATCTAGGAGCCAGCACCAAAGCCTACACCTTTTAGGACTGGGCATTAGTGGTGGTTTTATGGGAGAGGTTCCAGACTCACTTTCAGTCTTAAAATAAAAATGTCCCTATATTGGTTTCTGCCTATAAAGTTCTTATGAGGTTGTATTGGCTTCCTTCACCCATTGTGATGGTGATTCTGTCATATAGTAATAGATGTTTTTGGGGTAGTGGACAAAGGAGTTATGCTATGCACACCTGGTGGTGGGCCTGCCCAATAGTGACTTATTTTTGATGTAGATATTTTGATCTCCTTCAAACTCTATTCAAACTCTATTTCATTTGGTGAACCAAACCATAGCCATAGCCGAATGCATATGCTTTGCAGCCGAGCTGAAGACACAGCCAAATCGGGGGCTTCACTGACAGTTCAGGCATGGCATGAAAACAAATGAGCGGTGGGAGTGGTGACATCATCACTGGCTCCGCCCATCTGTTTACATTCAGAGCAGGATCTGTCAAATTTCTTATTCTGCGGTGGCAGTTTGTCGGGAGTGGTCGGGTCCAGCGGGCGGTGTTTTTTCAAATTTTGGCTAGTCAGTGTGCATAGTTCATCGTGATTGACCTTGGATTAACCGCAAGACAACGTGATTGATGTTGGATTACATCGGTAATTTTTTTTAGAACAAAGGCATTGTCAAAAACGGTCTCTGTGTTTTTTGTTCCATTAAAGGTTTTTTTATAAAGTCTGGGTTTTTATTTACTTTTTATTTAACTCTTTAGTAAATAAGTAGGGATACAATTACCCCTTACTCATTCACAAGGGGGGGCGGCATCTGGGTGCCCCCTTTGTGAACGGGGGTACGAAGATTCAGATGAGCTCCCTTGCCCGCAGACCCCCACAGCCACCAGGCCAGAACATGGGGACAATGTGCTTTTCCAGGGAATTTCCCCCTGGAAAAGCACCCTACCAATGCTGAGGTCATATGGCCTGGTATGGCACAGGGAGGGGAAAGCCAAGGGTTTGGCTATATAATTTTACGTTTTTTCCATGTTTGGGTATTGGGGTTCCCCCTTAAATATTTTTTACCAGACCTAAAGGGTGTAACAGAAACCCCCCCCCTGTAGTACTGTTTTCCTGCCACTAAATGGCCTCAGTTTTAAAGACCAGCATCATTCAATCAAATGTATCTGTCGGCTGTAATGTACTGCCCCAAGCCAGTGACTGGACAAGACCGTAATGGAGAAGCAACTAGCAAATGATAAGCTCATCTCTCTGTCTACTCTTATCAGTATGCCCCTTGTCAGAACGTGAACTGATTGATTCCTTGTGTTGCTTATCCCTCTCCCTCTCTGATCTCTGCTGTAAGGGGCCTGCAAGAGGCTGGTACCAAGTCAAATTTATCTACCTACACTGCAGAACTACATTATTTGTGTCTTTTATTGGTGCAAAGTTTTAAATTCTAAGATATAACTATCAGCAGCAGGTGAAGACATCATTCCAAAGAATACTGCTAGTTGCAGAGTGTTTACTTCACACTATTATAGTGATATATTTCCATTGTATTAATTCCATTTTCTCTGCCTCCTTCCCATAATCTGTTTATTTTGGGCTATTTCTAGCTACTTTAGCATTTGTTTGCAGGTCTCTGAAGATCTTTATGTGGTGGGAATCTGCTCAGTAAAGTGTCATTAGTAATAATCTCTGAACATGCCTCAGGAGAAAAGCAAAACAAATAAAGGTTGAATCAGTATTTGGTAGAAGCCGAGGTCATGGAAGACTTGATACAAGGTCATTTATTTCAACCCATCATTATTTTAAAATAAAATAACTTTAATTACAGTCATAAGTCATGATACTGACAAAGTACAAGTAAATAAAGTATTTTCTTCCTTAAAGTGTATGTAACCCTTACAACTAATGTTTCTAAATTGTTCTCTTTTGTTCTGTTTAATTACAATTGGAAGCATTTGTTATATCTGTTTAATAAGTACAAAAAAAACAGTTGATCTTGTCAGACATTAAGACTTTGTCCACTTTTTGTGTTATCTGAAAGAGCCCTCCTAGTTTTTATCTTAGACTACAGAATGATTAGTCCTTATGTTGTAGAGAAGGGAGTGGGAGTGGTTGTCTCCCACTGTCAGGCCACAACAGGAAAGAAGGAGCTGAGCGTATTTCTGGTATATCAATAGGTATTTTTCTGTATTTGCATGTTTTTAACCCTTTCACCGTCAGAGACACTTTTGCATTTATTACAGGCATGTAATAAATTAAATAACTTTAATTACAGTCATAAGTCATGATACTGACAAGTACGAGTAAAGAAAGTCTTTTCTTCCTTAAAGTGTATGTAACCCTTACAACTAATGTTTCTAAATTGTTCTCTTTTGTTCTGTTTAATTACAATTGGAAGCATTTGTTATATCTGTTTAATAAGTACAAAAAACCCGTTGATCTTGTCAGAAATTAAGCATGTGTCCACTTTTTGTGTGATCTGAAAGAGCCCTCCTAGTTTTTATCTTAGACTACAGAATGATTAGTCCTTATGTTGTAGAGAAGGAGAGAAGGGAGTGGGAGTGGTTGTCTCCCACTGTCAGGCCACAGCAGGAAAAAAGGAGCTGAGCGTATTTCTGGTATATCAATAGGTATTTTTCTGTATTTGCATGTTTTTTAACCCTTTCACCGTCAGAGACACTTTTGCATTTATTACAGGCTTGATAAAATGCACCCATTTTATGGGTTTTCATGTTTCCAGCTTGGGGATATACCCGATCCATTTGGCCTCCATCTAGACAGTCTAGGGCGATTATTTTCACCCTCACATAATACTTTTCCTAAGCCTTTCAAGCTGGCTGGTGGATGTCCAATTGACACCCTTTAGCAGATCATTACACTCCACAGGACTGATACATAGACGTCTTACAGAATTTGAGA